CCAATATTTTCCCCCTAAATTTTTTAATAAAATACCCTATTTAGTAAAAAAATTTCATTTGAATCAAGTCATTCTCTTATTTTTGGCAAATATTCTAAAACAGGATGTCTTGATTTTTTGCTTTCATTGTCGAAAAAAGTGTCCATTTTGGTGGCAAAATGTACATTATAAAGTAACTGACCGATTCATTGATTGATTTTTTTTATATGGCTTATCAACCCTTTGTGGGTGTTGCAGGCCAGTGTATGTGGTTCCCAACTTGTTGCGGGCGTTAGTAAGGTCGGTGATTGGGGATAACACATTGTCTCCTGAAATACCCACAACAAACATGGCAGACATAGGATGTGAGTCCACATAAATAAATAAAAAGAAATGGCAAGAACCAATATATATGTACAAACAAATGATAATGTATTAACAACAAAGGTATACAAATGACAAAGACAAAGATATGTGCGTCAAATGAATGTGAAAACCTAATAGTCTAAACTATGTGTAGTGAGTGAATGTGTGTACATATGTGTGTGTGTGTGAGTATCTGTGTGTGTATTGTTAATGCATTTCCTAAAGGGAATGCGTTTTTCGCGAGAGACTTGGTAGATAAGATCAGAAGAGAATGATAAAAAATTATCGCAGAGTATTTATAGTCCTGAGAGCGTCTCCTAATAGCGATTTTGAAAATTAGGAGGAGGTAACATGACATGAGTTATAAAACCAAAATATATTTTGCATCAAAAGAGTAATTCATTTTTTGTGGGGAGAGAATATGTTATACTGGAACACACCTATTCTATAGTTAATAGACTCTCCCACCTATAATAAGTAGTAGTAGTAGTAATAGTCGCTAAGTTGCTCAGTAAGTTGGTCAGTCAGTCGATGCCGGACGACCGTTAGTCGGATATTAAAGTATCAGCCACCACAACTAGATTGCTGCGTCATTAACTATTATATCAAGTTCCTAACGTTTTGTACGTCGAACCTATTTTAGAACCGACTTAGTGAAATACAAGTCTCCACTGTGAAACTACTCTATAACAGAATATTATATCAATAATATTTCTGAGAAAAACAATGATTTTTTCCAGATACAAGTCTTACTTGTTGCACAGATGCTGGTTGTGTTTAGGTAGAAAACACGTGTCTCCTGGTATATTTTTTCGACAACAATTATTGTGGAAATGAATAAAGTAACAAGAAAACTATATGCAAACAAATGACAATGTATGTATTAACAAAATGTCTACATAGACAATAAAAAAAAAGTAATTAACAGTGAAGTGAATGTGAATGTGTTGGAGGACACATTTTTACCACGTGCAATGTACATTTTATTGTCTAAGAGAAAAATAGGAAAAAGAAAATGACAGAGAATATCATTTCTTATCTATAGACTTAAGGAATGTCCCCTAGCAACGGTTTTTAGTAAAGTAAGTGGGGTAAGAATGAATACCAAAAAATACAAGAATGGATTTTAAATACGTACATGCTACTTAGAGACAGGGTCAAGAACTGAAAAAGCATGTGGTTCTTAGTCAAGACATAGCAAAGAGTGATTTGTACGACTACTCCCCTACTTTTAAACCCAAGACCGAGGGAGTGGAAGTGCTAGTCTGACCGGTTACATCGAAAGGAATAACTCTGTGACTGTGTCCAGGCAACATCAGGAAGAGGCAGCTGAAGTTTCTGGGACACATAATGTGGAAGGAGGGAAAGGGAGAAAAGGGAAAACAATGTGTAACATACCTGGTGGGCTTAAGCAAGGTAGATGACAGAACATGGTCTAGGGGAGGTGGCAGAGGGAAGGAACTTGTTGAGAGCTGCAAGGGATACTGGGAGGTGAAGAGCTGTTGAGAGCTGCAAGGGATAGTGGGAGGTGAAGAGCTGTTGAGAGCTGCAAGGGATAGTGGGAGGTGAAGAGCTGTTGAGAGCTCTAAGGGATAGTGGGAGGTGGAGAGCCATGATCGCCTACGTCCTGAAAGGACACGACACATAAAAAGAAAGAAGTGGGGTAAACCACATACTATTTAACCCATAGCTGGGGGAGGAGATGGACTCATAACTTTCGCAAGCATATTTGCACGCAAGTGAATGTAATGATCATGACTGGAATTCTAATTCAGCTCTCCAGTTTTTACCATTAAAGAAGTGCATGTATTTTGGTGTTAGGTACAGTGCATCATCTCAGGTAAAATGTCTTAAAATACACTTTGAATTTATTTCATTGGATAATTTTCATTTTAATTCAGTTTTGGTTCATGCTTATATACAGTATAAATATAGCTTTTAGTCTAGTGTGGTACAAATCCTCCAAGTGAATGTTGATTAGATAAACCTCACTTCAAAATGTCTCCAATATTACTAGCTTGTTATATGTTGATTTGTTGTGAGAGACAAAAACTTATCTCCCCTTAACTCTAATAAAAGAACTAATTATAGATATTCACGAGAATTAAAAACAGTCATGTGACCTGATGAGAACCACACGAGACATTATTAGGCATGTAAATTAAGCAGTCTCTTTAGCTCTGGTCAGTCAAAGTGGTCACATGCATTTCGGGCTCATGACAAATCCGAAAAGATAAGTATAAAAATTGCATATTGATTTTTGGTACATAATCTTTTGTAAGTAACTACATACATACTTTGTCTTAACAATTCCAAATATATATATATATATATATATATATATATATATATATTGTCATCCACAGACAGACTGTTTCGCTGTATCACAGCTCATCAGTGTGGCTAGACACCCAGTTGCCTCTCGCTAGGATCGAAACCCGATTGAATTGGCGTCAGTTGGGGGTATTCTACCACTAAGCCATTGGCGCACGGCAGGGATGAAGGTGAATTTAAGCATATTTATTTTTAGATAAACACACAGTGACTGAGAGAACTCGATTCGATTTTACCGAAGAGCCTTGCATTACTTGCCGTAGTAGTCACTGTTTACAAACCCACACTTCCTTGCCAGAAAGCTCAACCGAAATAAATTTTTCGGGAGCATATATATTGTTATCCACAGACAGACTGTTTCGCTGTATCACAGCTCATCAGTGTATATATTACATCCCCCTTAGATTGACGTTTATTCTAACTGAGATTTTGACCTTTCATTTGAAACAAAATAAATAATAAAATATATATTTTTTCCTCAGTTTCTTCTTTAAATAATTTTATAATATTTTAAACTTAACACAGACTAAGTTTAAAATGTAAAATATTCAATTTTATTATAAAATTTAATATTAATCAGTTAAAATGATTTTTATTTTAGTCTAACCCTAATATTAAGGCATTAATTATTATAATCAAGGTTTGTTGTCAAGTTTTTTGAATTCTCATATACTTGTATTTTGATTGGTTATTGGAGTTTGTGTAACAGTGTTTCCCCTATGAAGGGGTGTTAGGTCAATTTGAACCTTTTTAAACTCTTTATTCTACATTCAACACCGTCACTTCATGAGACACCAGATGCATTGAAACAAAATGGCTATTTTTGTAGCAATTTTATAACATAGTTATGTTATAATGTTTTAATAAATTATATATATATATATATATATATATATATATATAGAGTGTTTTTATACAAAGACTTTTGTGTTTTATTTGAATCTTTTTAATATGTTTATGTTGTATATTCATTCACTTTGTAAATTAAATATCTATGCGCAACAGATTCATGGTAGGATTTGGTAAGGCAAGTATGTTGGGGTCGGATAGGAACTGAAAAAAAAATTAAGCTTCAAGTAAATCCTGATTACCACACATGCACACACAGACATATGCATACCCATGAGGTGAACAAACTTCCCCCACAAAACACACACAAAAATGCATACACACGAACTATATATAACATAATTAAATACATGTGCAATACACACACATAGACACTTGAACTATGCCCACAAAACAAAAGACATACATATAACAGCATACACTCAAACACCACACACGCAAGCATATATACACACAAACATACATATACATGCACAAGTAAAAACATACACACACAAATGCACATAGAAAAACAAACACACACAAATACACACAAGCAAAGTGCACACACACACAGAAGTAAAATACTTGCATACACATAAACCGCAAACATAAAATTGACATAAACAAGCAAGTTCATGAGCACACACATGTCAGCTTAAATAAAAATAAATAAGGATTATGGCCATATCATTTTGAAACATTAGTTCTCGTGCAATCAACAAAATTGAATCTGAGAATACCAGGTGCTGTAAACTGGGATGTATGGGTGGTGTAATGGATAATGGCTTGGAATTGTTAGTCGGAATGCTGAGTTCCAATTCCAGGGTTCATTATATTCACTTATGTGCAAATACGCTTGGGGAAGGTATGAATTCACTTGTATCACTAAACCATTATTATCTCTATAAAGAAAAAATTCTTACAATCTAAAAATATGTTCTGTATAAATGGTAATTGGCTGATAAGCCGTATAAAATGAATGAATCAAAACAAATTAAATAAAAAATAAGTAACTTTTGTTTGTCTTATTGTACCTGTTATTGTTAAAAAAATTTTTTTATTAATTTCAAAAACAGAATTTGAATAATTTGTGTTTGAGGCAAAATTTTGCAAAAATTAAGGCTTCATTGATTTCATTTCTAATCCTTTCTAAAACAAATAAAATCATTGATCAAATTTTAAAAATTTCTGATGCAAATATTTTTGATGGTGAAAATGATTTCTTTTCAGTCAGACCCCAGACATGTATTTTCCCGAAGTTCTCAGGAAACACTGATGCACCATGAATCTTACAAGCTCAAGTTCAAGTCTTCTTGTTAAGCCGTTGAGCCAACAAGCAAGCAACAGGTCCAGTTCCTCCTGTAGCACTGAACATAAAATTGACCTGAGTGACTTGTCCAGTAAGGGCCTTGACTACATGGCCACACTACATGGCTACGAACGTCTTCACCTGCTCAGCCACATGTCCACCAATTGGATGCTATCCACAGAGGATTATCGACGAAATACAGAACCACCAGTTGGTCTTGTTTGTAATGTAAATCCATCAAATTCAAACACAAGCTTCATTTTGTTTGAAGAAGATCCAAGTATTAAACCGATTGACTACCGAGAGGTATGTGTCATTATTTCTTGATTAGATTAGAACAATTTCTTTGCTCCTTTCTTTTAATTTGATTTCAATAAATGATCTCGGTATATTCTCTCCTTTTTCCTCTCTCTCTTCCCTCTTTCTCTCTCTCTCACACTATCTCTTTCTTTCCATTTCTCCCCCCTCTCTCTCCCTCCCTCTTCCTCTCTCTCTTCAATCTCTCCCTCTCTATACCCTCTTCCTCTCTCTCTTCTCTCTCTTTCTCTTCCTTCTTCTCTCTTTCTCCATTGTCCTCTCTCTCCACTCTCTCTTTTTCTATCTCCCTCTCTCTTACTTCCCTTCTTTCACTCCCTATTTCTCTCTCTCCCTTCTTTCCCACTCTCTCTCTTTACTCTCTCCCTGCTCTCTTCACTCTTCCCCACTCTTCCCCACTCTACCCACTTCCTCTCTTTCTTTCTCTTTGCTCTTCTCTCTCTATCGCCCTCTCTCTCCACTCTCTCTCTTTTTCTATCTTCCTCTTTTTTCCTTCTTCCCCTCTTTCTCTCTCTATTTCTCCCTCTCTTTTCTCTCTCATTCTCTCTTTCTCTCTCCATATATATATATATATATATATATATATATATATATATATATATATATGTGTGCTGAAGGTAACATCAATCAGCTAAGTTACAAGCTTTTACTCACATTCTTCTCTTTCTCTCTCTCTCCCTCCCTCCCCCTCTCTCTCTCTCTATATATATATATATATATAGATTGATAGAGAGAGAGAGAGAGAGAGAGAGAGAGAGAGATTTAATGTAAGTAAAAGTTTGTCGTTATCTTCAGCATTCCGACTCCAGAATTTCGTAGGCAGTCCTGTCTATCCACAAGTGCGTATCTGAGTATGCCTGTCTACTAGGGCAGCTAGTTCTATCCAGCCATGCAATAAAACATTGAACCAGTGTTATAGATAATATTACACCCCTAAAGAAAGGGATTATCAGTGGTCAGGAATTAATACATACTTTACTGGTAGAATAGGGCTATTTTATGTATAAGTTGCAATATTATCTATAGAAATGCATTGAAAATTAAGACCACTTCTTGAAGGATACTATGCTAGTTCTGATGTATTTTACTCATGTTAGTAATATTAGTATTATTATATATTGTTTTCTTGTTAGTTACATCAACTGGTTCGTGAACTGATGGTTGGCATATATCTCTTGAATCAAACGCCAACTATTTCTTTGGAGTCCAATTATGATCAAACATCAACTTGTAAATTACCACCTGCCTATGAGAATACCAAAATTGGACAGTTGTTGATTGAAGTGGATTATATGATGAAATCTCTCTGGCATGGGGTCACACTGCCCAAGGAAAAGAGGCAAAAGTTTCTTGAGAAATGGCGAGCTAGCCGGGATAGTACCAAGGCAGAATCACTCAAAGCCATACAGACAGAATTTAACAGCATTGGTAGGCATTTTTATTCATTTTATCGAGATGGTTTTATTTCTTTAAAAATTTAATTATTTTTAGGAAACATGTTTTACAGACAGATAAAAATTATTTCAGAATTTGATCTTTACTATAAATGTCATATATTCACCATGTTTTTTTAATATATGAATATTTGAAATATCATCTTTTTTTAAAATATATCTCTGAACAGTAATAAAATGAAATAATGTCATCTCTCTGTAAAACATGTCTCCTAAAAGTAATACCATTCTGTTTGTGAAATATATACAGGGTGTCCATAAAGTTCGTGTGCACTTTAAAAAATTTATAACTTTATTTTTATTTGCGATAGAAATAATCTGTAAAAACTGTTATAAAGTTTAATGTACCTAGTTTTAAGTATAGCTAAAATAACTAATGTGCTTTCAGGCATTATTGTAAATCAGTGGCAAATGTTTTCCGTGAACTGCAAAATCGTATTACCTTTTGTATTGCTAATGATGGAGGACATGTGGAAACTTAAATAAAATTTCAATAAAACCTTAAAAAATATAGATTTACTTCTTTCTAATCCTTTTTACAAATTATTTCTATCACAAATACAAATAAAGTTATAAATTTTTTAAAGTGCACACGAACTTATGGACACTCTGTATATCTTAAAATTAATTACGATTGAAATTATGTCGTCTGTCTGTAAACCACATGACTCAGAAAATAACACTTGAAATAGTGCTGTCAGTAAAACATGTATCTAAAAGTAATAACATTTAAAATAATGTCATCTGTTTGTAAAACATGTTTCCTAAAAGTATTAACATTTGAAATAATATAATCTGTCTGTAAAACACGTCTCCTAAAATAAGTTTTGAAATAATGTCAATCTCAAAATTAATAGCATTTGAAATAATATCATCTGCATGTAAAACACATCTGCTGAAATAATGACATTTGAAATAATGTCATCTGTCTGTAAAATGTATGTCTCTCAAAATTAAAATCATTTCAAATAATGTCATCTGTCTGTAAATCATGTCTCCTAAATATAATAACACTTGAAATAACATCATCTCTCTGTAAAACACTTACCTTCCAAAACTGATAACACTGTAATGTTTTGTTATGACCTAGGAATGATTGACCTGACAAATGATGCAACATTTGCAGAAGTATATGAGAAGGCCAAATATTCAGCTACATCCACAAAACTCTCTGTTGACCGACGGGCATTCTATCTGCTTAGTGACCATATACTTTTGCAGATGGCCTTCCGACAAGAAACGATTATGCAGTACAAGAACCTCTTTGTTTTGGATGCTGATTGGATCATTTCCAGCCGCATGCAACTAGCTGACCACCAAGTAGACAAGGACACAGCTGAGCAGTTCAATATCTACCTTCAGCATTATGTAGGCATCGTTGTGCAGGCTCTTCCTCTCAAGGCTGATATCCGGCGAAACTTGGTCCTTCTGAAATTGGTCAGCTTTCTTACCCCATTTTTTGTTGGAATGCGAAAGT